AGGAGACACCCCCTGACAAGCCCCCTAAGCGAGGCAGGAGACACCCCCTGACAAGCCCCCTAAGCGAGGCAGGAGACAGCGCCCTGACACGCTACCTACTAAGTCAGATCTTGAGCCCTCCAATCAGCAGGAAGCATGAGCTTTGCTAATTGCAGAACTATAGATCTGTCTCTGCATAACGGAGTGCTGGACCTCTGCAGAGAGACCACTGTTCCCACTCAGAGATGAGGGTCCTCCTGCGCAGGCAGGGGATTGCCGTCTCTTCTTAGGCTGTGGCTGCTTTTAAAACAAATTGAACATTAAGACTTTGCAGCTTTTGTGTTTTTACATACGTGGAATGTATTTCGCTGATTTAAACAGAAAATCATCTTTAGGGTTCAGTTCATCCAAATAACAAGTGTCCATGTTCAAGTTTTTCCTGTTTCAGTGAACTCACCTGAAGAGGCCCTCCCTCCTCCTCCTCCCTCCTCCCTTCCTCCCCATAAAATAAGAATCTGGCAGGGAGAGTCTGATCCCCTTGTAATGTCTGCAGCAGCTGTGCAGGCCTGAGCAATCAAATGTAGATGACAAAATCCATTGTGCTACCTGACACTCTAAATCAGGGGTGAGCAACTCCGTCTGTGCTTTAACTACAAATCCTATCATGCCTGTCTCCAAGTGCCTGTGGCTGTCAGTCTTGCAATGCTTCATGGGACTTCTAGTTCCACAACAGCTGGAGGGCCAGAGTTGCCTACTCCTGCTCTAAAGCCCAACTCTGTCCTAAAAATAATTTTAAATTTGGTCAAAGTGGGGAATGGTTGATGCCGGTTTTTCGGTATAGGGTACAGATAATTTTTCCGGTACTCGCCGATGCCGAATACCGATACCGGAAGTCCCATTAAGGAAGCCAGGCAGCGTGTAATAACTCACCGCCCTGCTTCCCGATCAGCCGTCTCCATGCTCCTCCGTCACCAGGTGGAAGCATGGAGCTGGCTTTCTGGCCAATCAGAAGTGGGTAATGACTCGCCGCCTGGCTTCCTGATTGGCCAGCTTCCCAACCAATCAGGAAGCCGGGCAGCAAGTCATTACGCGGCACCAGGGTTTCTTATTGGCCGGGAAGCCCGCTCCAAGCTTGGAGACGGCTTCCCGGCCAATCAGGAAGCCGGGCAGCGTGTAATGAGTCGCAGCCCGGCTTCCTGCTATCAGAAGTTCCAGTATCAGGATAGTCAACGGAAGCATCTGGGCGAGTACAGGTACTCCCCCCAAATACTCGGTATCGGTGCATCCCTAGTTGTCAGCTTTAGAATGCTCATCTCCGTCCTCCCCTCCAGTCTTCTATCTGACCTCCGTCCTCCCCTCCAGTCTTCTATCTGACCTCCGTCCTCCCCTCCAGTCTTCTATCTGACCTCCGTCCTCCCCTCCAGTCTTCTATCTGACCTCCGTCCTTCCCTTCCTCTCATCTTCCTCTGATGTCACTGCACACTTGGAGCTTCTCACAATGTACATTAGAAGCTGCAGCAAGTCAGATAGAGCCCCCTTAATTTCCTGGCTGGAGGACATCCAGCATCATCTAATGCATTCCTCCACAGCCTGGCTGTTCCTGGCCCCGCCCCTTTCATTCATTGACTTAGTTCTTTTTATCACGGAGCCTCAGCCTCCAGACTGACACCCGCCCATCAAGGTATTCTGATATTTGCAAGACTCCTCCCAAGAGCCCGCCCACTGACTGACTGAACTCTATTGATAAGGCAAGTATCAATAGAGTAAAAGCTGGCTCTGTGGGTGGCAGAACGGGTAACTATTAATACTCTTTCTTATTACTTTTTTTAGGTGTTGGATTAAAGCGAATGTAAACCCAACAACAAAAATGTCATATTGCAGTTAGATGTGGTGGCTGCATTTGTTTTCACTTTTTAGACTATTTCCCTTTCATCTTTACCAGGTCACCTTGCCCGTAACACACTTCCTGTCCGAACTGTATCTACAGGAGAGTTGTCCCCCTAAGACATGAAGGGCTGTAGGACTACAGAATACCTCCCCCTTGTCATGCATAATATAGAGGGGAGATGTACAGAGACAACTTAGAACAATGATAACAGTGTAGCACACGTAGAGCGCAGGAAGTTAGCGGCCCACAAGATTTCTGGCAGGATCACCAAGATTTGGGGGGGGGGTTGCCATTATTGAACAGATAACAAAAACACTGTTGTTGGAGTCCACATACAGTTTAGGTTTCAGGGCCGGATTAAGGCTTCAACATTGAGGCTCATGTCACAAGGGCTGTTTTAGCGGTTGGATGCAAATGTTATCCTCCCCCCCAAAAAGCAGGCAGAAGGGAGAGGACTGGTCATCAGTATTTCCTGTGGTCTCCATACAGCTGATCTTTTCCCCATTACTGACTTACCATACCTTGGTCTGCACGGTCTCTGTATGGAGGCGGCCATCTTGGTAGGGGCAGGGCTTTGCTTCCTCATGTCAGAGCCTCCAGCAAGGAGGACAGAGACCAGAACAGGAGTGACATCCCCAAATCTCCTGAGATTGGCAGTCAGAGGCAGCAGTGCCGGAGATCTCACACTGCAGATATACAGCTATGAGGTTGTAGGCACAAGAGTGTGGAGACAAATCATGTCTAAAAAAGCTCGAGCCACAAAAATAAACATTTTTTTTTCGGTTTCTGACCACTTCACAAAGCCATGTCCAGCCTTGATTCTCCTGGCACCACAGGTGCCTGCCACCATGCCCCAGAGACCATAGGCACATTCCACCATGACCCAGAGACCCCAAGTGGCCTGTCACCATGCCCCAGAGACCTTCTATTGTGTCAAGACCTCAGGTAACTACAATCATGTCACAGACACCTTCCACCATGCCAACAAGACCCCAGGTAACTTCCACAGGAGCCTGCCACCGTGCCAAAGGTATCATGGGTAACTGCCACTGTGCAAAGAGACAACAGGTGCCCGCCACCATGCCACAGGTGCCCGCCACCGTGCCAAAGATATCACGGGTGACTGCCTCCATGCCAAAGAGACCACAGGTGCCCACCACCGTGCCAAAGGTATCATGGGTAACTGCCACTGTGCAAAGAGACAACAGGTGCCCGCCACCATGCCACAGGTGCCCGCCACCGTGCCAAAGATATCACGGGTGACTGCCTCCATGCCAAACAGACCACAGATGCCCACCACCGTGCCAAAGATATCACGGGTAATTGCCTCCATACCACAGGTGCCCGCCCCTGTGCCAAAGACGGCAGCTGTGCCCAGGAATGCACACACGCCTGGCACTGTGTTAGGAAAAGCCTGCCTGCCACAAAGCTAAGGAACCTGAGAATGTCAACTACCTGGGGATCTACGTGCTGTACGATGGGCGCACTTACACAGCACGGACCAATGCTCCTTGCAGATTTCATGGACACATGAAAGCGTGCCAATGAGCTCGCTGACGCCCTCCACTGTACCAAGGTGACCAAAGGTGCCTACCAAAAAGCTGTGGAATCTGTAAACGTCAACTCGGGTACCAAGGGACCTGTGCATGCTAAATATAGAAACACAACACCCACCAATGCCATGGATGCCTGCCCCTGGCCTTCTACAGAGATCCCAAACCATCCCTAGCAGGCCACACAGGACCCACCAACAACAAAGCAGTGTGGGGATGATAACATGGATACAACCTATGGCCGACGTTGTCCCCGGCGCCTTAAATAACAGGCGTTTCCGCTCACTAGATTTTCAATAACTGGTGAACTAAATCTCACATTGGAGGAGGGCAGCAGATAATCACATGACTTCACATTCTTCTCAATCACGATCACTCGCCTGTCATCCTCTCAAAGATCCCCAATGACCGCATCTGCCACCACAAGCTGCTCCCCTCCAAAAAAAAAAAAAGTACCCTGTGCCCTGCTTACCTGGATGTGTGACCGTTGTCGCTGGCTCTCTCGCTCCTCGCCAGGCGGCTCCTAATGGGCGAGGGGCATCGACCTCTGCCCGCGGCCTCCCATGCTGGCTCTTCGGGCAAGCCCCCTTTTCCCTCGGACACCGGCGGTCTGTCTGGACATAAGCGAGCGTGCCAGCCTTAGTGCCGCGACCCCTCGAGCGTCCGCAGACGACAACACCCCAGCCGGGCGGTCTCTGCCCGCATGTAGCAGCCTCTCTTTGTGTCTCCTTATCTGCCCGTACAGGTGCCTTCCGACAGCTCTGGTGTCTTGTCGCCGTTGACACCCCCCTCAGTGCCTGATGCCCTGACAAGAGCGTGCGTGCCAATCTCTACACACAGACGGCGATCCGAGCCCCTGAATAAGCAGGATTGTACCGTGCACGGCTTGGATCGTTCATGCGAAGAGGAGGATGCAACGTCCGTGGAGGATGCCTGTACATATAGATGCAGCTGAGCCAAAAAAAAAAATCTCTGGCTATAGAGGCTTGGCTCTGCCTATACCTCCCCCCTCCTGTATGGCAGGTAGTGTTCTTAAGCCCTGCGATGTGCCGTAACACCTACAGAGATGGATTGCTTCTATCTATAGGAGCTGGGAGCATCCCCTATACTGCAATAACATGACAATCAGCCCCCGTCACCTATATACCCCCCTGCAATGTCTACGGAGGCCAATGTATGTGGATTCCTGGCTCTCCAAGGGCTGGGGGGGTCTGCCTATAGCATCCCCTATATGGCAGTTAATGTAGTCGATCCCTCCGTTCAGCTATAGAGACGGATTGCTATTATCCAAAGGGGCTGAGAGGGGAGCAATAATTTAAAAAAAAAAGGCAGACAGCCCCCTGTCATCTATACAAACCCCCCTTTTGCAGTGTCTATGGCTCCCTACAGGGCTGATTATGGCATCCAATGTGGTGCAATCATATATGGGAGCCCTGTACAATATAAACACTCTCCCCCTGTGATGTATAGAGCCTTGATGTCAATGCAGGCCCTATCTGTGTGCCTCTCTACAGTGCCCACATAGGCTGTGGTGATGTATGCAGCCTTCCCCACACCCCTTTTAAAACGTTTTCACCTATGCAGCCCTCCCTGTATGGAAGTATAGGGTGTGTGCAGGCCCCCTCCTCCTCCCTGTGTGGATCTCCTTGCCTTGTGTTATGCTGTGGAGGAAATCAGGCAGCCATAGGAGGTGCTGAGCTGGAGCTATAATGGTGTGAGTGGATGGCAGCTGACCCCCTCCTCTTTCCCTGTCATACACCTAGAGCATATACAGGCCTGTATGTGTGTGTGCCCTCAGTGCAGGAGCCCCAGCTCAGTGCCAGTCTATAGGGAGCAGCCACCCCCTCCCGTCCTCTCTAT